CTCATGAGCCGATTCCATGATGTTATTGAAATATCTAGTCACATGGTAATAAATAGTACGACCAAATGTAGATAATAAATTAAACGTAGAGTTATCATGCTAGTTAACCTAATGAAAAATGTTAAGCGTATCCAGTCGCGTAAGGATGCCAGATTTTGAAAAAGTTCCTTATCGATCTCCTTCACAAAGTGGGTAATGTAAACCCTGCCTATCTATGAAGTAGACGTTTAAATATATTTTTAGAAAAGGCGTACAAAATTATTATGCTAATTACTCGATTGGTACCAATTTAAGCCTTCTTCAGATTTCACATTTGAAGGAAGTGTATCTTATCCGATTTTCCAAGGCCGTGGAATACACAGTCGTACAGCACCACATTAGCAAATCTATGTAGGCGGCCTATAAATTGCGCAACATAGTCCAAATCCCTTACAAAATTTTATGAGACATATATGTCATCTTCATAATAGCATAGAGAAATATAAGAGTTTTTTTTCGCATGAAAGGCATTGCCTTGTATTTTGAAAACCCTGAACCAAAGTATAATGACTGGTCGAATTCCAGAATTAAAAAAGATATTTTAAAGCCAAAAATAGTCATTTTTCGAAGAAATTAGGATAACGCAAATTGCTACAAAATCTTAAAAAGCTTTTTAGTTTCTTTGAAAAGCGTTAACGTCCATAAAGGCGTTAAAAATCAACGGAAGCCTATCGTGCTAATTAAGTAGTCGTTTTTACAAAATGCGGTTTGCACTAGCAATAGATATGAAGCGCACACAGGAGCTTGAACTATGACGTAACTGGAATAACATTTCATTTTGCCATACGATGAATAATATTGCATTTTTACTAATGTCACCTTTGGAATTGGATATACATTTAAGAATGTCGGCCAACATTTCATATGATAGCATATCTACTGTACACATATAGTATTTATGACAGAGACGGCGTCTTAGTCTCCGCTGATGTCGTTCAACATCATAAAATATCTCATGTAAGCAGATAAGCCACATTTTAAACAATGGAAGTTGAATATCTGTTTCTTCTTGTCCTTTTGGAACTAGCTAAGTGATCGCAGTTCCCTAAACCTGCTGGTAGTAGTGCATATATAATTGGTAGCACTTCATGAGGCAAAGTATGGAAAGTTCTAAAAACACGTTGAACTGAGAGTCAAAGTGGATTTCGCTGTAGGACATGGATGGGATTTTCATTGATCATGATGCATAATACAGGACCTGCTTTAAAATCTCGTATCCTGTTGGAAATGTGTGAGGCATAAGGATCTTGTATCAAGATCTATAAGTCAGGTTCTAGACATGCATAAAAAAAAACCAATTACCTGATTACCTGACAACAGGTAATACTGGAGCACTGTAATTTCAGTTTGGGAGGGGTTTTTCCCTCTCTTCTCACACGACAGTAGGGCTGCCCAGTTATACATTTGAGACATAAATAGGGACAACAAATCTTAATCGAGCTTAGATTACTGAAAGGCCTGAAATGACGATGTCTCTAATAAAATTTGTGTTCCAAAAATATTCAAACTGTACCTATTTAACTTACAGTTGGTAGACTAATTCATGAAATGTCAATCTACATTGCGAAATTCGTTTTGTTTTCGAGAGGATTAAATAAGTAGCGTTGTAAAACTAATCGTCGTATAGCAAAAATTTTTTTAATAATTCAGTTGCGCGGAACTCCGGCTTTCGAACAAACCTCTTTTAGACTGCACGTAAAAACTACACTAAAAATGGCTACATTAAAAGCATACATTTTTAAAACTAATTTCCGATCCGCTTAAAAATTGACTATTTTTCGTGAAACATGCACAAAAATATTCATTTTTTGTTCATCCGATAGAAGATGACGTCTTATTCCAAGTTTATATTTAAGGGAAAGGCATAATTCGATTTTAAAAAGTTTCTTGTTGTGTGATTTTTAATACCGTTAAATGGTAAAACGTCATGTCATAGTATTTTATAATGTGGCTTGCAAAGTTTACAATATGGTTCAATTGTACTACTAAATTTAATGAACCTTAAATGGTCTCCTATTAATACCGTAGAGAATTGTATGGTATATACAGCTTGTAGTTTTGAAATCCTAAATGCACCTGGATGGCACATGGGGCTCAAAATTATTCGGGAATTAGGAAAAACTTTAAAGGACCGATTTACGCATTTTCTGCTGGTATGAAAGTGAGAGAAGGCGTAATGTTGTATCGAATGAGCAAGAGAATGAATACGTTTATATATTTTTTGCGTGAAATATAATTTGAATTTTAGGGGTGTTGAAAATCAATGAGAAAAATGTATGCTACTTAAGTAGTCATTTTTTACAGAGTTTCATCATTAGATGCAACTGAAAAGAGGTTCCTTCAAAAGCAAGCATCCTTAGGTAACTGCATTATTATAGAATAATGTTGGAAGTTGATTATTTAAGTACTCTTTTAGAGACAAAAACGCATTTCAGAATTTAAGTTGATATTTCATGAGTTGACCCACGAGCTGTGTGTCTTCTTTTTAGACAACATAAAATAGGTTTCGCGCAAACGTGATCCAATATCTTAAGACATATGAAAGCTGCCTTTAAAGGGCTCTTCAGAAAATCCGACTTGGAGAAATGCCTTAGCAGGCCTTTTGGTGCTACATTTTTCCGACTGCCATCGTCCGAGAACTGTGTTTCCGAGCGGTCTGGAATCTGCATGTGTAGTAACGGACCGGTCTTATAAAAATTAAACCAAAATGTTTAAATTATTTTTGGTTAGAAAACAGTTCTTGAATGGGTCTGATTCAATAGCTATCGTGCTGCATAATCCTGTGACAATTCTATGACTTCAGGATGATAGCTCTTGAGTGTACTTGATAATTCACAATCCGTTATAAATGGAGTTAGACAAAAAACCAACTTTGTCCAGTCACTTCACTTGCAAACTATAACTGCAAATATATGTGATACAGAAATCAAACAACCCATTCTCATTTAGTACGTGTAGTCCTTCAGTCAATATATTTGTGCCATATTTACGTTTAAGGTTCGGTTTTCAGTTGCTGTACTTTTTGTCCAGTCCGCCGCTGCACTTGCGCCAGAGTTTTCGGTCTACTAGCTGCAAAAGCTTCGTATAAGCAGACGCACGTATTCGCATTTATAATAAAGAAGACATCCAATAGGAATCATACTGTTCGTCCTATCGATATGCTCCATGCTTCATGCGCCATACGCAGCACAAAATAGTACGATGCATTTCCACAAACACAAAATTTGTTAAAGTTAATGGATATCCAATCCTTGAGTAAGAGCCTTTAGGAAGACGTGATTTTAAAACATATGAAAAGAGTGTAGATCATTTTGGTGCACGTTCTATGTACGTTCCATAGGAATTTTTGGGACATCGAAAATAAATGGAAACCAACACCAGTGTCGGGCAAAAAACGTCCTCCCCAGTACTTTCTTCAAAATCTCGAAGCCGATGGAGAAGTGCGTGAGGGATGTAGATTCCGCCTCGCGATTTTATCCTAAGTTTTATGGAAACTCATTAGACAACAAGTACCAGTAAACAAACCGATACATAATAACATATTTCACAATGGGGCAGTCATTTTCCATACTTTTCACGATGCATTTGTGTGTACGATACGGTGATCAAAGAGGAAACTCAACTTGCATTTGTCTGGATTGATGAATTTCATAGGATGAGTTCCTTAAATGATTACATGTCGACAAACCACGAAAGGGATTACAGTTTCAATTATACAGGTTTTTCTTCCATTCACCTCGTCTGACAGACGGGTACACTCTACACAGCCATAAACAGCCCGTGAAATCATACAAATAAATTGATGTTCTACATACACGAAGTTATTTAATACTGGACGACACGCTCTCTTTGAGAAAGAAATTTTAAGAGGATATGGGTTGAATAAAAATGAGACGAGGACACACCATTCCGCGATATGGTCTATTGTTGGCATTCCTAATTCTTTAGGAATATTGAAAATAATCATAAAAACGTACTGCGTAAGCAGTTATTCAACTAAAAGTCGAATGGACATGCAATTAATTCGTGTCTCCAAAGTCATGATACAGTGCAATATGATAGCCTTATTACAACCAAATATAGGTTATCCTTCCTGAGAAAAAACACAGAATTTCGGCTGGCTTTTCATGGAACCCTAAGCCGACTCTAGTCATGAGCAGAAAGACGTCCAGAATGCCGATTGAACACCACCAGCTTAGTTGCGTTGTCAAGATCTTCATTGCCCGAATAGAAGTAATTCGTATTTTGTTGGTTATATTTCACCTGCCGGAGAGGCATGCACTCTGGCTCTTACAACCTTGTCTGCACCCATCATGCCATCTGACAGTGTTGGTGTTTAAGTTCTATATGTCTTCTGCATATTGTTACATGGAAATGCATGATTTTCTTCGCATAAGAAGCACAGTGCTTGTGGTTCGGAAACCCTGAATGCAAGTGTAAGGAGAGATCAGGCTCAAAATATGACTTGATAAGAAGTCAGAAGTAAGGGGGCGCAGTGCCCTGCTTAGTCGTGCGGCTAATCGCGTGTGAAACGCGGATTTTCCAATGACTTAATTGGTTAGATTCAAGTGGAAGATACTCGGACTAGGATGAGAAGTCAACATACCAAGTAAAAAGAATTAATTCATTCGGCATTGTCTTAGTGTGTCTATAGCATTCATAGTTGGTCACAGCTTTGGCCGTTTACTCAAGCAAGGTATACAGATGATGCCGCGTGTAGTCTAGATGCAAAGCTGACGGAATATAACAATGACCGCCACCATATAATGTGGTGTCGTAGGTTTGCCGTTCTGAAATTTAGTAATAAGTCCTCCGGAGAATTCTCGGACCTCAATTTATTTTTGATCAAATCAGATATGGGCTCACAACCACATACTTTTTAAAAATAACTAAACCCAAACCACATGGGAATGAAACATTTGGAATGTTTTCCACTGCCGGACAAGCGTTGTTGCAAATCCTCACTCTAAAATCAAAACCGCACAAAATATGGATCATTTAATGCTGTTATCTCTATGGTCCAAACCAATGAGAAATATAACCGAAAGCAGATAACATGGAGATCCTCATTTTTATTTTATACCCAGTGTAACGTTGACAGGTGAAAATTGCGATGATATAAAAACATTTAGGTACCTTAAACCACAATATCATAGACCTGTGTTTTTTGCAGTAGTAAACAAGTTTGTGGGACAAATTTGCAGACTACTGCCAAGGTACATGCCTGCAAATCGTAAATAAGAGTCATGAAGCTACCAAATTTGACTCCTGACACAAAGTAAAAGGACGCAAATGCACGATACAAAATCATACCCGTATAAACAGCTGACCGATACATGGCATAAAACAATGCGTTTTTTGCAGTCACAATTGTTAGTGGTGGCAACCCTACACGTAATACTTGATTCGCAATAGGGTGTAACGGACCACGTGCAGCATGAAACCCTTTATCCCCTGCTTAATCAGGATCCTGATGCTGTATGCTTATAATGCTGTTCAAATATCACCTTTCAGGCATTCCTCCAAACAGGTCTTCAAGCGCTTGAATGCTCTTCCCTCCGGCGTGGTGAGATATTTCACTTCCTGACAGTCGCCGCTTTTAGGGCAAATGTACGCTGTGTGCTCTATTTTCTTTTGCACTGAAATAAAAAAATTGCCCATATCAACGAATGCAACAAATTGAACAGTTGTGTCAAGGATAAATTCCCTCATAATCAGGGGGAGTAATTTGACAAATTCGTCCAGTACAATAACAGCTCACAGTCAGTCCAACCACTGCATTTAGGAACGCAAAGTCTGTAGGCCTCAAATGTTCCATCCTTCTTCTCAATCGTGAGACATTTCTTACGAATGTCCCTGCACACTTTTAAGGACTCATTGGAACTTCTTTCCACTAAAAGAACATGAGCGCACGCAGATCAGACAGAATATCTGGTTTTTAACAAAAGCAATATTTGCGTCAAATTTGATTATTTAAAACTGTCTAATACGGAAAAAAGCGCACGAAACTGCAAAAACAAATGAGTGCAGTAGGGTCGTTTACCCTGTCCCACCAACTGGCACGCCCGAACACACATCACGTGCCTGTCAAAGATTTTGCCGTAACGCCTTCTTCCATAAACTTCGTACGAACTGCAAGACTGGTCAGCTTCTTCACAATAGTAGGCCGTTATTTTCTCAGTTAGGTTCTCTTGAGACAAAGAAAGAAGTTGCTGTTTACTCCACGTCTTCTGGGTGAGCAAACGACCGCGAACGCACCAAAAAGTTTGCGGTCACAATGGGCATACACTGGAAGCATTTATAGGGAAGTACAGACCTCGTTGCTTTGCACATTCATTGCGGCATTCGGCATCCTTGTCTGCATCCCCAGTGGTGTAGGGCACAGGTGTACAATTTGCGCGATCCTCTCTGCATATTTGACGCGTGTGCGCTAAATATAAAATGATGAATGCGAAAGTTAGCACAATTTTTGACAGATTTATATGTGCCTATATTCGCTCAGTTCAACGATTCTTCGATGTCGAAATGGGGACTAATATCATGCAATCGGATGGGACACGTGTTGAGTGCATGAGGGATGGATGAACTCTAACCAATTAAACTATATATTCAAGAAAAACAGTGACTTAGTAATTGCTACTAAAATTGTGTCCGATGACCAAACACACCAGACATGAAGACCATCGAAACCAAAGCGGCTTGAAGGAAAATCGACAAAAGAAATCGCATCGCGTCAGTCCGATCTCACTACACGAGCTGTGGCGTGACGATTTTTCATTGAAATGTTGCCTGTATTTATAGCACTTGGCCGCTTATTTTGCTACCGGATAAAACAGAAATTTGAGTGGCACTCGTCTTCTGTCATGGCCGTTTGCATGCAGTTTTATCGAGGGCAGCTGATCAATACGAATCCACGGAGGTGCTTTGTATGAAAAAAGAATAATTGACGGACTCGCCCTGAATATTATTCCATGCTTCGTGTCATGCGTTGATGTTTGATATCTAATATTGTCCAGGTCTTCATGCTATGCATCCTGGAATGTACTTACATAGGGCCTGATAATTGAGCTTCAACCGGTACACCATTCTGAATTATCTGAGCAATACTCAGATCATACTATGCTTGAATGGATTGTTAATCATTCACACTACAAGGGCACATTTTAAACGTATTTTGGGACGCAGTAACACATCAGCCAATGGCAATGCTCTCAGATAAGGGCGTCTAGCCCGTTTTGGTATGTCCAACTAACGAACTATGTCCAGCTATAGATCGTAGACTGACCGTCGAAAGGCGCTGGTTTCGGTCACGTAGAGCCAGTAAAACATGCTGAATGATCTGGCATTTTCCTCTTGTATCTCATTTGTATTTGCTTTGACACATCATATGGTCATGCCTCGGACCATCGCGGAAAAGGACTCAGTGCATTTGTAATGAACGAACTTCTGAATATTAAATGGTCAATAAACATCATGCCACGCGTCGGAGGAGTTACGTTTCATAAATAAAACGAAGAGGCGGTTGCTCGATGTTTTGTAAGGTTCTCGAAATATTCCATTCGGTGCGCGCACATTTTTCGTGGTCGCTCATGTATGCCCCGAAAAATAACGGGAATTTACCCAAATCTTTGGTAATTTCATCTTATATTCCTCGATGACAGAATTGACACTTGTATAAATCGCCATTCATTTTTCTTTGTTTATTACACTTGGCGTAAAATCGCCACTCTCTTATCAGCAATTAAGAGTAACATCCGGTGTATCGCAGCACTATTGCGTAAATTGAATTTAGGCTCACGATGGGGAGATATCGACAAAATTCAGTGAGTACTGTGAAAACAGATAGTTATTGGACATTACAATGTCAATTTTGAAAGGATTTCTACCCACATCCCGCTCAGTTAAGAGGGGTGCTACCCAGTTAAATGAGAACAACAAGACAGAGTGAAACTGGAGTTCATATACCAGAAAACACACGGGGAAGGCTGTGGAACCCACTGGTGAGCCGGATTCCTCGCAGCTGCGTCAGGCAGCGGCACAAGATCGGCGAAACACGCGTGTCTGGGCTTTTAACTTCTACCTGTGTTGTCCTTATAGTAAATAATTGCACAGCAAGTGTTATTCGAGCCTAGCCTGTCGTAAGACCTCCGATGCCTCGTATTGGTAACGGATTTGCCTTCTACGATATATTATACACAACGCCTAAGTACCATGGTTTTAAAACCACAAATTTCTACGCACTCATGCGGCTCAATATCCACAGACTTGGTAAGACAGTATTTGAAGTATCACATATACTCACACCTGTGTGATGAGTAGTACGCGCGACGATGTCTGCCCATTAAAAGTGGGAATTATTCATGCTACGAGTCTACTATGAAGCTTATAGAATAAAGTTGAATTTCACAGGCACAACTAGAAATCCGTAAACACGCAGATGTTGTTCTCAATATGCTGGTTGTCCACTCGCTAGGAGAAGATTGAATCGATTAGAGGAACTCTGCTGCTGATTCATGGTGCGTTAAATGTAGTCGGGTATCCCTGCCGATGCTCATGGTTCCTTCGTTCAATACCGCAGACATTCCCCAAACGTCATTTATTGTTGTAACTACATTCCCTTAACATGCCCTCGCAAGGCTACCAGTCCCTCCCGGTAATCGCTTCCTGGCTTTTGACCACCGTCATCGCCAATGTCCACCGCCTGCCCCATTGCATGGTAAACGCACGGACGTGACTTACGAATGGATACATTTATAGTGATGTTGGACTTGTACTGCACTTACCTTACTCTATCCCCTAACCCACCCGCACTTGGCGTCATGGCAGAGTCCATAAAGCCTAGGGGAGATTCTGGTATACTGCGTGAAAAAACTAGGCGGTCTGTCTACGCGGGCCATATATCAATGATCCGCACAAGATGAACGGGGTTTTCACGTAGACAATTAAATGATGCCTCGTACCCCAACTGAGTGGGAGTGTCATGAAAGCCGTAGTAGGAGGGAATGATTGTGGCCTGATTCACACGCGTCAAGACGTTTACTCGAACACAGCATACACCTAAAAATGCAACATACAACTCGACATGCCCTTCTTCAACACATCTACGCTAATCACTTGAAAATCAATAAGTGTGTTCTATAAACTTACTGACTCAAGTGAGATCACCTCTTGCATAGTTTACCACGTATAGTTAAACGCCGTCGGCCTACGGTTTGCCTGGAACAAGTATTGGAATTAAGGTCATCTCTTACAAACCGGAAAGTGTTTGATGAATTAAGCGCACTGACAACATCTTTATCTCCTAGAAGCCACACAGACGGAATCGCTTTCGAATCTTCGTCTCCAAAAATTCTTTGGCTCACGCTTGCCAAAAAGAGACTTGAGAGGAGGAGCGGAAGTGCAAAATGTGCGTGGTAAATTCTAAAAAACCCTTTACACCAAGGAACCACCAGAGCCCTCAGGATCCTTTGTCCGCATCGCCTTCGCTTACCAGTAGACTTTGTGTGGCATTAGGACTTGTTTCCTTATAGCTGGCATACCCAAGGAAGATATGTAATTGGTATCTGAACCGCGGCTTATTAAAATCTATCAGGTAATCCAAGGGAGTCTCGTCAGGCTGAAGAGCCCAATGCCGTCTTCACATAGCATCCGAAATCATCGCACGTTCAGCGGTCAGTTGATGAAAGAACATTAAATAATTCCGGGCCAGCGTCGAATAAAAAATGAAGTGGATGTGACTATATTTTTGCGGAAATTCGATCAAAGATAATGCTCATGCATGTGCAGCCGAAGTGGTATTTGTCGAATGCGGCTATTATGCGTCCATACAACTTTCAGTAGGAATTTACTCCATCGATGCGATTGTTACCTACTTGGCAGAATTTGAGACCACAATTGTTCCAATTTCAGCAGCATTGTTGGCTGTTGTATGATAAATATATTGAATTGGAACGCAGGCATCCCAAGAAATATAAATTGAAATCAAAACGTTCTTTGGGAAAGGGAGAAAACTCGCATCGTCGGAGTTTGCCCATCTAAAAAAGGCCGAGAGTTTCTTGAAGCCATGCACTCCGATGAGTCATGCATCAACAGGCATATCGAATTAGATGCCACGTACAAGAATCTCAGAGAAAAGTGGAAGAGACGAAAGCCGATCAATACGGACTGACACACACGACGGCAGCTTACTAGCTGAGGCACCAAATGAGTATTGATTTTGTAGCACGTTTGAAATTTTAATTGTTTTCAGCACATTTACTCTAGTCTGACGACGACACGGGGAACCGACGTCGAAAATTTACTCAATAAAGTTTTCTCCCTTTCCCAAAGAACGTTTTGATTTCAACGATAAATATATTATATGCACGCGGACGTCAGCAAGATCCGGTGGTCGAGAAATCAGAAGGATTAGATGTTTTGTAATTTGAAATCAGTGATTTTGTAGCACCTACTGACAAAGGTGACCCCAGCGTCATTGTAGCCAAAATGGACTCCGTCAACAAAGCGATCTAAGTCTTTAGTGAGAGGCAGTACTTTTAATAATCTCGTTTATCGTAAATCATATATCCGGAAGACTCAAAGTTTGTTATCCATGGTGGTTTCCGCATCGCTAAAGGTCGCGGAAAGAATGTTTTCTAAACTCATTATATTCTTAAAACAAGGCAATATTTTTGAAACGTTTTCAATCATCTTCATCCTGTAAGACGTAATCTCATTACTGAAGTTTTCTTCTTGCAAAGCCACCGTGAAACCTCGTCGCCGATGCGTTTTTTAAATAAAGTCATACGATTTGGCTTCTCCACCGTTTCCTTCAGGTCAAAATATCGAACATGGATCCGGCTATGTAGCTGAACTTACCAAATGCCTGTTTAGAGAGGTGGCGTTGCTGGGCCTCAGTTTGATTAATCGTTTACCTTCCACAGACCGCTGTACGCACATTATACACGCTCGTGATGCCTAGACATCGACCTAGCCGTACATATGTTGCCCTCATGTCTTAACGATTTAGGCGTAACGCAAGCAAATGTTCTCTACTGAAGTCATTTTATTCATTGTTCTCCACCCTTTTAGGACTCTTGATTTTCAAAGGTCTCACTTTATCACGATTAAAAAACCATAGGACACAACTGCTCAGACGTGTGTCCGTCAAGGTTAAAACTCGTTCTTCGAAAATGTACGGTCTTGCAATCATGCTGATTGGCAGTCTGTCAGAAATATATGTATTTTCCCAAGCCGCCAATGTGAGGAAATAGTCGACATAGGAATTTAAAATTTCTGTGACTTTGCAGGTAGTCGCTGTCTGTGTTTTAACGCCCAAAGTCATATCCGCGAAATTTGAGAAACCGACCAAACCACGTAGCTGTCGATTCAGTTGCATGTGATCATAGGCAGCAATTCTTCCCGTATTTATAAGCGTTCATTCAACTAACAGTATTGGCCGACATTAAGTGGAACCGTTTTTATCAACATCTACATACCGATAACACTCTTATCTCACAGCCATAATCGTTTAGGTAAACATTAAACACATTATCTTAATGATGAACAAAATTGTCGCACCACTCGATAGTCTTCATCAAAGAGAATTGAGCATTTATTCTTGAATAAATAGGTGCAATCAGATCTGACGTCTGCAAAAGGCTTACGTAATGCGGGTAGGACGTATATTTCAAGAATGAACGACC